AAATTAAAGAAGGCATGTGGACAAGACAACATCAGCAATGAAATGCTCAAAATCAGCAGCCCTTACATAATTCAAGCTCTGGCAAAATTATTCAATCTGATCTTATCGTCTGGTGACTTCCCTGAGGCCTGGTCTGAAGGACTGATCACACCTATATACAAAAAAGGAGATAAATTCGATCCCAGTAATTACCGCGGCATTAGTGTGGGCAGTAGCCTATCAAAGGTTTTCTGCAATATAATAAACAGCCGCATAGTGACATTCCTCACAAGACACAACATCCTAAATAAATCACAAATTGGCTTTTTACCAAAACAACGTACATCCGACCACATCTATTCTCTCCATACTCTAATCAACAAAAATCTAAAGGGCAAACAAAGAAAAATATTTACATGTTTTATTGATTTTAAAAAAGCTTTCGACTCTATTTGGCATGATGGTTTACTATACAAATTATTACAAATTGGCATTGGTGGAAAAACATTTGATGTTATACAATCCATGTATAAAAACAGTAGATGTGCGGTCAAACTGGGGACTCTCAGAACAGCGTTCTTCCAGCAGAGCCGTGGAGTGAGGCAGGGATGCAGTCTGAGCCCAACACTGTTTAACATCTACATCAACGAGCTGGCAGAAGCTCTGGACCGCTCCGGCAGCATCCCGGGCCTCGCTCTGCACGACTCTGAAGTCAAATGCCTGCTGTATGCAGACGACCTGGTTCTGATGTCCCCCACAGCTGAGGGTCTCCAGCACAGCCTGGCCCTGCTGGAACAGTACTGTGAGGAATGGGCACTGACGGTCAACCTGGACAAAACCAGGGTCATGGTGTTCCAGAAGAAGGCCAGGTCTCAGAGAAGCAGATACCAGTTCAGTTACAGAGGAGAAGTCCTAGAGCACAGCAGCAGCTACACTTACCTGGGCATTGAGATCTCAGCATCAGGGGGCTTCTTCTGGCTGTGAAGGCCTTGAATGAGAAGGCCCGGAGGGCTTTTTATGCCATCAAATCACGGTTTGGCCAATTAAAATTACCAATTAAAACATGGATTAAATTATATCACGCAATCATTAAACCAATTCTACTGTACGGGAGTGAAATCTGGGGACCAGTAATACATTTTAAGAATTGGGATAAAATTTCAATAGAAAAACTACAACTAGAAATGATCAAAAACGTTTTAGGGGTCCATAGAGGTACGTCCAATGATGCCTGCAGAGCTGAATTAGGCTTCTACCCACTGAAGATTGAGATCCAGAAGAGATGTGTTCAGTTCTAGCATCCCCTCCATCAATCTGATCCTGATTCAATCCGATATAAAGCCCTCCTCGCCAATGAAACCTCAGCAGAATCTCATCCTCTAAACACGCTCGCTCTTCAGCTAGTCCAGAAAACCCAGCTCCTCGCTGACTACAGCTTCAGCCCCAAAGCCATTATTAAAGAAATTGACAAAAATCTAAAAGACACTCATGATGAATCTCTAAAAATACACTTTGATAAACTCCAAAAACTCCAATGCTACTTAACCCTAAACAGAACCACTAAATTTGCCAATTATTTATTGATTAAAGAAAGACAAGAAAGACAAATCCTCTCCAAATACAGATTAAGTAACCATGATTTAGAAATAGAGAGAGGAAGACATAGACAAACATGGACAGAGCAAGAGCAGAGGATCTGTAGACACTGTGATCTACAGCAAATAGAGGACGAGAAACACTTTCTGCTGATCTGTCCTAAATATCACAATGTGAGGGGAACATTTCTCCCCAGATTTGAAGCCCTGATCCCATCATTTACTGAACTTAGTGATACTGAGAAAATGCCCTTTTTACTTG